TGTAAAACCATAGGAGGGTTAGCTTTCATCAAACTTTACCTACAGTGTTCTATACATCCCCTGTTTTCTCTTTCCTTTTGTATTCCGGTGTTTGAGCAAATATTGTACTTTTGTGAATCCATTTCTAAACAGCCTTGACATTTAAAGATGGAGAAAAGAAATGCACATCTCATTTATATTCTTCTTTTGCAATTACATTCACTGGTAATGTCTTAACAGCTCATAGACTGAACGTAGTCGCTGAGATATAAGACGAACACAACAAACACATCAGCGGGCACAGTGTGAGATCATCTGACCGCCCTTGCGTTCATGATCTGATATGCACCCGAGATTGTCTGACACGCTACAAGAACAAATGGAACATAAACAGTGCATATCAAGAGTCACAGTAACACTGATCATTCCCTAATGTTTCGATAAAATAGTTTAGTGACACTAAGTGCGTGCAGTTACAACTCTTTCCAGCATAACTTTACTCCTTCACTGCGTTGAAAGAATGAAATAAATTAGTTGCCTGGCCGCGTGACTCTGTACCTACCCGGTACAGCATAGGCTTACCTTTACAGCATAGGCTTGGTTGCCTACAGACCATCAGCATGATCATGTACATTTATATTGTAACATTTTCCTTGGCAAATTGCCTGAATTGGACTACCTGTACATGTATAAAGTTCAGCTGGGCAGACAAATTGTTGACATTACAGCCTTTGGTTACAACTAAAACGAAACATACTAGAGTTTACATTGGGGCAAAGTGACTTAAAGCTGAAGGGGGAATTCGTTAATCACAGTCAACATGCATTGTAGCTTAAAGAACACTGCTACATGTATAACAAAACAATGTTCTGAAGAGCAAATTCTGAAAATCCCATTTTCTCCTTTTATAAAGTCCTAAAGGTAAATCACAGTTCAATCCCCAGGTTGGATAGGTAGATTGCACATTTTTCCCCAACCCAGTTGTAATATTATCCCAGTCCTTCCATGTTTAAAATGAAATCCTAAATTAAAGTACTGAACACAGGTATTTTTCTTTGTGTGATCTGATCTGAGTTTTAGACACTGGTCTGAATTACACGTACACCCTGTGAATACAAAGTCACAGTGACAGTACATACCACAAGCACGGAACTAGATAAAGATTTGCAACGGTAAAATTTAGAAGTCCTTACAAACATTCACTGAACATGTTCAGTTAACCTGCTTGCAAAGATGCAAAATAAAGTTGCTACCGGTTCTTGGTCCAGTCTTCACTGTCTTATTCTGGTGGAATGGCATCACGCACTGCCTCTTCCTCGACTGTCTGCATCTGGATACTACATTTAGGCTTTCATCAGAAAAAGCTCAAAGGAAAAGTCCTTGTCGTTGAAACACCCCAGATCCTGGCCTGGAAGGAGATCAACTATGGCAGCATGTCAGAGACGGAGAAGCAGATGTTGGTGTCGGAGGTCAACCTGCTAAGGGGGCTGCGTCATGAGTTCATTGTGCGTTATTATGACCGCATCGTGGACCGAAATACAACCACCATCTACATCATCATGGAGTACTGCGAGGGGGGTGATTTGGGGAGCCTCATCACTCGCTGCAAAAGAGAGAGGTGAGTTATTCAAGAAGTCTTCTTCCCGGGCTCAATGTGATGGGTAACAGTGTTCTTGTTAAGCAGTCACCAGTCTTACAGTCAAAGCAGTTTGAAGCACTTAACGGCAATGTACTGAAGGCTTTGTCATATGTTTACATGTACATGTATGTATACTGTGGCTCTTACATGTGTAGCTGAAATTGCTTTTACTTCTGAAATGAAACAGCAAAGCATTTCAGCTGTAGAGGCTTGTTTATAAAACTGCTCCTCTCTAATTTTACAAATTAACAACATAAGTGAGATTGTCTAACACCATCGGTGCTTGAAGAAACTTCTGTTGACTAAAATTAGCCTCTGTGTATAGACAGCACAGTGCACCCTCAAAGTGGCTCAAAATTTCTTGGGTTTTTAAACACAAGCTCCATGTCACATTTTCTTGGAAGTGAACAGTCATTTTGGAATGTGTTGGGAACTTAACCATGCAGTCTTATTAGTAGTGTGTGGTCGTTCGTGTCAGGATTTACCCACACTGTTCCCTCACCAGAAAATACCTGGAGGAAGACTTTGCCTGGAAAGTTCTCCGTCAGATCACTCTTGCCCTGAATGAGTGTCAACAGCGGGTCAAAGGTCGTGCTGTTCTCCACCGTGACCTTAAACCTGCTAACGTGTTCCTGGATGCTGCACATAACGTCAAGCTAGGGGACTTTGGTCTCGCCAGAGTGCTCCATCATGACACAAGTTTTGCCAAGACGTTTGTAGGGACTCCATACTATATGTCTCCGGTAAGCAGGAAATCCATCAGCACGGTACACTGTATTTCACAGAATATTTAGATGTCTAAATAGCCCAGAATCAGTAAAAAAAATTCTGTAAATCACATGAGATCTTTGCTAAAATCTTCTTTCCTCAGCAAATAATTCTGTGAATTTTGCAAACTCACCTATGGTATTGTGTTGCATGGTCCTCGTGTCATGATACATGTACTATATCATGTTGGTCAACATTATCTATGCAAAATGTGCACATGGGTTTTATGACTTGATACTTTGCAAAGATTAAGTACCTGCAGGACACAGATTTCATAAAAGTAAGTTGGGTTTTCAATCTACACGCGAATTGCTTTTCACCCTTAAAAGTTCATGGAAGCAAAACCTGAGTGTTTCATTAGCACACTTTAAATGTAAAATGCAAAATGTGAAATGTCAACTATGATCTTCTGTTGTTGCAGGAGCTCATGGACCACTGCTCATACAATGAGAAGTCAGATATGTGGTCACTGGGTTGTCTCATATATGAACTGTGCTCATTGAGGTGAGTCCTTGGGTTTGGAACATGTTGCGGTGAATATCGCAATCACCATATTGCATTTGTGTCAAAACAAAGTTACTAGTTTACCACCAATTTTACTTCAAGGCAAATGTGGACATTTTTGCCGAGAATTTGGTATACATGTACATACATGTGTTCTTTCCTGTGGGCTTGATCATTTAAATATTTACCTGTCACAGCCCGCCATTCACAGCCATCAACCAACAACATCTGGCAGTCAAGATAAAGGAAGGAAAGTTCCGTCCCTTACCTTCACAATATTCACCAGAACTCCAGGACCTCATCTCAAGAATGCTGAAAGTTGACGTAAGTTCAGAGTGGCATAAAAATCATCACTGGATTATATGAAAACGGATTTGTAAACTGAAGAACATAATATACAAGTAGGATAACAACTGTAGCGTCAGTGATGAGAGGTGATGTGAACTTAACCCTATGGAGCTGGGTTAGTTTGGCCTATCTCACAGCCAGGGGAGGGGGGCTTTGGGACTCCGCCCCCTAAGATCTCTGCTTTGCCACGCTCGTTTTTTTTTTTTTTACTTGGCAAGTGAGTACAGACATTCCACATCATTACAAACTTGAAGTTTGAACTCAATCAGACATACAGTTTTGCTGTTATGGCCATTTGGCGTTCATGGCTACATGCGTGTCAGTGCGCATGCATTAAACCCATTTTCGAAGATTGACCACTACAAGCGTGTGACTAATACAAGTCTGCTGAAAAACCACCTCGTCCCGTGGTCTTTTACGCATATGCATACGGGTCACGCACGTTATAAAAATGGGAACGAAGTCGACAACGTTCATACACCTCGGAACGCTGGCGCGCTGTGGTTGAACAAGTCATGAAGTTCAGTTCGGTTGCATAGTGTAGTTCAGGCTAGTCAAAGGATCTGTTTTTTTGGTTGTTTTTTTTTAATCAAAAATGAATTTCGATTTTCAATTATTTTCCTTGACCCACCCACCATTTTGAAAAAAACCAAAATTTACAAACATTTAAAATTTTGAATGGTCCCAAAGCCAAGTCCATAATGGGACAAAATGGGGCACAAAAAGTCCTAGAAAGTCCCGATTGAAAATACCTGGAGCACCTGTGAGGTGTATGAAGCCTGATTGAGCACCACAGTGGAAAAAGTATACATTTTTGGCTGAGCAGTCTCTGGAAAATGTGCGCTGCGGGAGAACGGTATGTTAGATATTTGCATAAGTGGTGTCAAAAATACTGCAAAGAGTTACTCTAAAAACTCCTGGAAGCTCAACTCCTCAAAAAATTGCACTGCTGCGATATCGGAAAATGTCAAAGGGGTAGATTCTGCCCTCCCCCTAACTCTTTTGGTTTACTTTTTTGTGTAAAGTAAAGAAAATATATGAAAACAGGTATGAAAAGTAGCTCAAATAGTTTTCAACTGAATTATGGATTGACTGCAATCATTGCAAAGCAACAGTCGCTCCATTACTGACTTTTTTCGGTGGTCATCATTTGTTTAAGGCTGTGGCGAGACCTTCCATTGAGGACATCCTGAAACTTCCCAAAATTCTTCAACTGTCCAACCAAAAGAAAGATCGCCGATCGAGCCAGCCAGAAGATGCCACGGCCAGTGGATTCCAGGAGAGATTGGACAACGTAGCAAGACGGGAGGAGACACTGAAAAGAAAAGAGGAGGCCATGCAGAGAAGAGAGGATGGTATCAGACTCCGAGAACGACAGCTGGAGGAGCGCACCAGGTTGCTGGAAACCAAGGAGAAATGCATGGCTACCAGGGAAAAGCTGGCAGAGGAAAAACTGCAAAGGTTGGCACAATACCATCACACTTGGAGCCGTTATAGACGGCATGTTCACTGCTACAAATCCTTGCTAGAAATAGCAAACGGTTCTCGACACTAAAGCGGACCCTACTCTGCAAATCCTGAAGGCTTGTCTTTTCCCACTTTTTCCAAACCTTAGAGCCGAGACATTGCTGAGCCAGTACCAAGCCACCAGATTACAGCTCAACGAAAGAGTCAAGGAGCTGCAGACAGAAAAAGGTAAATGTTCCGAGATTCGTCAGTTGACTGTTCCCGACTATTCTAGCCTGGCGCACAGTGAGTTCATGAAGTGGAGGAAACCACTCCCCCCTGTGTGCCATAAACCACCCCTGGCATCTTAACTCCATACAATTAACCACTAAGCTTGTCAGTATGTGAAATTATACCTTGCTGGTGCTGGACACAGCAGGGCCGTTTCCACAGGAAAGTTGAAGTGGATTCGGGGGGCCAGACTGGTCAGATTATGTGTTTCAGAATGTTTCTTGCATTGTGAATGAAATGATGTTGCAGATCTTATGTTGAACCATTCCATATAATGAAAATTATGAGAAGTGATAAGATAGCTGTACTTATTTTTGATAAATCACGGCAAAGTGATGAATACTGAACTATTTATTTGAAAAGGTATATTTTGTTTAGTGTTGTATTTATTGTTGGTGTTACGTGTACTTCGACACTGTCAGATATTTTTTGTATGAGAATGAAATTGATATTTTTTCCATAAAAATTACGACGTGTATTGATATCAGTTTAGAATTAAGTAAACATGCATTTTTTACATCTAAGTAATTATGGTAAAAAGGAACATGTATGTTAAATGATCAGTTGTCTTGAAAACATTCTACACTTTTGCAAATTCAAAGCATGCATATTTGTAATGTAATGTTGCAGGTTAACCAACTTGTTACCATCTTTAAGATTTGAATCTTAAATAAATGTTTGTGCAATACACAGTACTTTCTTCTGTACTTCATTTCACTGGTCCATTAGTGATTAGTGACAGTAAATGTATCCCACAGATTTATCCAAATACATGTACATGTACAATGTAGTTACAACAGAAATGCCCAGAATTTTAAGGGATTTGCGAGTTGAAATTACAGAGCTATTGCAAGAAGCAAATTTCTGTTTCATTACAAAAATGCCACTTACTGAGGATTGGTCTGGCTACTACAAATTTATTTTTACTTCAAAGTTGCATCATAAAATCAAAGCTGTCACTGTCTGATTAATTCCAAATGTCCTGCACTTGGAACTTTCTGCTCACAGCAACTGGACATTTGCCAACTGGCTGCATTTCCCTCAAATTGGGCTTTCAATAAGCTTTGTTCAGAATACCCTGTGTTAGATGTTAGAGCTTGTACAGTGAGTCCCACCCACAACATGTGTACAACCAAGGCCATTCAATCTTTCCAAGGCCATTAGTGAGAAAGAGGTTGGGGATACACATCTTGTAGACACCCTTGTAATTTGCTGCAGAAATGAAAAATAAGAGAAGCAAAGAAATTAACTGCTTCAACTTGCCAGTTGAGTTCGTTTCAGAAGCACCTCAACCTCCAGAAAGTGGAAATACTCATTGTTCGGGGATATGTGCAGAACTTTGGAAGTTTTGTCCTTCCATTTAGCCCCTAGTTCCGTGGGCCATGGTTTTCCATTTCAAAAACTAGTTTGGATTTTAGATGTAGTCAACTTGGTATGTAATTCAGCTGGTTACAGCTACCCCACGAGAGTTGACAGTACTTGTAGGTGAAAACGTCAGCCTTTAAAAGTGCTGCACTGACATATTTTTCTTTCTTCACATATTTTTTGTATTTTATGTTTGTTGAAAATCGTCCCTCTAAACCATTCTGCAGAACTTTAATACACCCAGATTAATGCATGTATTTTCAAGGGACCAGCATGTCTGCTGCCATATGACCTTACAAAGTGATTCTTTCTACCAATCTGAAGAGACTATTTTAAAAGTGCTCAGAAAACTAACGAACTTTTACTGTTCCGTCACAACATCGTTCCAGACTGTCAGGAGGACGTTCATCCAGCATACATCGGCACTACGCCAAAACGAGTCCACTTTGCCCCCTTGGCACCTGGAAAGGAGAATGAACCACCAAGAAAGCCAACCGATCCTAGCCTGGTATCAGAGAAACACCCAGAAGGCAAAGCGGCACAGCTGAAGGAGAGACTGTACAAGGCTAAGCTAAGGAGCCTTGCCCTGCAGAAAGAGGAACAGACAGCAAAGTATAAGAGCAAACTCCTGATGAACATGATGCGTTGATCCACGCTGCAGCTTGTTGACCTGTCACCGTGGTGTCTAGTGGACATTCTGTTGAAGTCTGTGCTTGCAGTGCTCCCATCATAGTGACTTGAATCTCTGGCATAGTAGTGTTGGGTTATACAAGGGGGTTAGTTGGACAGTTAGATGTTAAAGAGGAATGAATTATTAACAAGGTGTACTTAGATGCCTTCTTAATGCTGCAGAAATGAATGAGAGAGTTACAAAGGAGAATGCTGAAGCGGGTCCATCTGTGAATGAATTCATCTGCAGTGAAAACCTCTTTTCTAAATGGAAAAGCTTCAGAATAAGACCGCTATCCTTCAGAAACAGTTCTAAGGCTTGTGAACACCTTCCATTCAAACATGGTTCACATTTTCATCATTACCTGTCTCCAACACACCGCCATCTTTGCCTAGTCTTTCAAAATGTAATGTACAGTGTCTCTTCTCCAGTTGCAGTGCTCCTCGGGTACATTTAGAGGAATTCACTACATAGACAATAGTTTTTAAACTGCAAAATAAAAATTTCTGAATACAAAAAGTGAGAAACGCATGAAATTTGAGTTGATATTTGTAATGCTGCAGTTAATCAAAAAATCTTTGAGTTGCCGGTACTTTACATCCTCCATGATTCTCCAAAACACTGGGGCACTCAGCCATGCAACACAGTTTCATGCACTGTACAGTAATATAATACGACACAAATTTCTGTGTGTTACCAATCACTGGTCTGATTGTTTTTATCCATTTTAAGTGAGGACAATTCATGTTTAAACACAGAAGTGTTCAACTTAACTGCCAATGCATTTTATTACATGTAAATACACATCAACCCAAAGGAAAATTACAATAATTTGTAAATACATGCAGATGAATGACAACTTGGTGTACGCGACTACTTCTTTTTTTGTGAAAAAGTAACAGTATTTGTCTTAATAATTTGATCACACATCAAAAGTATGCTGTATCCAAGGCAGCCCCACACTTCCAAACTTGTCTGGACTCCTTTTTGAGGCACAGCTGGGTCATTCCATGAGGTTGGGGGGCACAGTTTGTGACGGTGTCCTTGTTACATGGGTAACTTTTACCACCCGTCATGACCTGTTGAGTAGGTCATTTACTCTCTAAAAATAACACACACCTCTGTACTATCCCTATGCAGGGAAACAGCTGTTTATTTTTACGGAACCCATGTAACAATGGACACCGTCACAAATTGGGCCTCATGGAATGACCCAGCTACAAAACACAGTAATGGATTAATGGTCATTAAAAAATCATTTATTTAAACTTGATGCCCTTTTAATTCATGCGCAATTGAAAACAAAATGAGCATGTTCCTTTCTTTTAAGATCGTGTAAAACACATTTTTCATGCATTTACATTTCCTGTGAAAATCCAATGAACAATGTATCACGACTCATTTCCATCACTACATGTACATCTCTTTTTCATAAATTTAAAATCAAGGATATACTAGTAACTGTCACAATCCAATGTGGAAGGATTTTAAAGGGTTGAGGAAGACACATCCCTATCGAAACACAAGTGTTTCACATGAGACCTAATATCGCTTGCAAGTGTACATGTAGTAAGAAAGTATGTGACATTCCAGTTGAACCTCGTTAATAAGAGCAATGCTAATGCAACATTCTGTTTCGAAAGGAATTTGTTTCTGTCCCAGTCCTTGGTTTTATTGTTTACATTCGTGACAATACTAGGTTTCCTGTTATAACGAGGTAATCTGCAATCTCTGAAGGACTTCTTATTAATGAGGTTCAGCTGTATTTCATTTCTCAATCCATGGCAGAGGATTTTGGAAAATTCAGAGCAACAGTGCCAAAGTAAGTGTAGTTGGGTTTAATCCAGAATCGAGGAGAAAGAGTTACAACTACATGTACATGTACGTACTTGAGCACATATTAGTCTCACCAGCCAGAGATGCACATGTGCACAATCCTAGTAACATTTGGTAATGATCTGGGTTCAAACATTTAATCTAATGCTCCTCCAAGCTGCATGTACATGTATAGACACTTTCATGATACAACACCTGTATAAATCCCTGTCATCTGATTGGTTAATCAATGATCACATGGCATTGAATTATTTGTACCAACACACGCAGATTGCAAAAAATTTATAATAACTGTGAGTCAGAAACAAATAACGAACACCTCCGGATCGATTGCACTGTAGCTTCTAGCGGCACAAGTTTCTTTATGGCAAAATGACGAGCAATCAAGCTCTGCCGTTCACAATTTTACAAATAAATGTAATTATAAGGAACCAGTCCATTCCAGAGATGGTGGTAGCCATGCAAAAGCTTGCCCCGAATCACAAGGTACAGCCACAGTGTCTTTAGTCTGGGGAGTGCAAATTGTTCTGCTTATGCGCAATTAGAAAAATAAGTGTACCAGATTTTTATTCAAATTTATTCAAATGGCCTATTGTTCTGCACTAAAATATGGCCAACTCTACCACTGATTACATGTTTAAGAACTTGTTTTTGTAAGTAACTCTGATGCTGCCAACATAAGAAAACAGATAAAATGCTGCCAAATGATTAAACAAACTTGGAATATGGTGTCAAAAAATTAACAGATTCACAACTGGACATCTTCCAGTTTGAATCAATTTAGTTATTACAGTTGTACATGTACTCAGAAAATCAGATGAGGGTTTATACAGGTGTTGTATGAAACAAATAACATTTCGCATTCGTGCAATGGTAAGAATAATTGCATGAGGTGACAGGTAAAAGTGTCTTTTCCACTCAGCTTCGTCTCGTGGAAGAGACCGTTTCATCTGCCACCTCATGCAATTATTCTTACCATCGCATTCACAACCATTCATTTTGTGTTTGTCATTCACTGGATATCTTTGCTTGTCCTGATGTAAAACAACACACACATCAAAACAAAGTCAATGGCCAGCAGAAAGGGGCCAATTTTCTGGGGCTGCACTTTTATGACAAATAATGGCACTGTGCATGTGCACTATATTTAAGCCACACAGGAAACTGCAATTTTCTCTTTGTTGTTTGCAATCAATTATCAATGGCACCAGTTTGGAAGCAGGAAATCACAGCCTTAGCAGGCAGCACTGCCATAAATTGGGTGCCTGAAAATACAGGTGGGATACAGTCAGAGTTTTAGCCAGTACATGTATTTGAAAACCGAGTGTCTACATTGGTCTTGAAGTGAGACAAGGCATCCAAGCTACTGGGGTTTTATGGTTTCTGTTTTTTTTAATAGCAGGCCAGCATTCCCGTACATGTACAACCCATAGGACTGGACACCCCCCTGGCTTAAACGTTGACTATAGTCAACACCGTTATAAGCAAACAAAACCCAAACCCTGTGAGAATATCAACTGGGCATGCAGCCCCGGAATAGCAGTTTTTTGTGTGTTTCTGAAGAGACCAACTATGCTTGCTCTGAATTCAGGAGCAGTTCATAGTTAACCCACTATGTGAGACCACTTCTTGACTACACAATCCATGATCTTAAACGTACCATCATGCACTAACAAAAATGCATCCATTACCTACACATGTGAAAGTGAATTGTGGAACACCTTATTACACAAAGAAATTCAAACTTAGATGGTGTACATGTACATCCCCAAGGCAAGAACTTCTGATCCCTGTGTTGATTCCTCCATGGTAAAAGACAGGTCATTTGGACTGGACATTGAGATGTTGTACTCCCATAATGCACACAGAAAAATGGCAGCTCCTAGTCTCCTTGGTGGCGCACTGTACTGAGAAATGCTCTTATTGTACATGAATCGCATCGACGATGATGGGCAGGTTGTGATTCTGGACCTTATGAAATTTGGGATGTACAAAGTCAAGGAGATGTGAAGTAACTCCCTGTCCAAACTGGGTAGTCGTCTAGCTTCATAGGCTCATAGCTTCTCGAGGCTGGACACATGTACATACCGTAACAGTGAGGAAGTCAGAGTTCAGCAATAAGGTATGTCACTGCACACATCTCTGTGCTTCGGAGCAGCTGTTCCATGCAAACTTTGTACATGTATGGGCTACAAATTGGCAGGTGGGACTGCACTTATGTTGACCGCTGGCTGTGTAGATCATACAACTGGTGCTCAACACCTGCACTGCGTTTAACTCCACATTCTCAGGGCTACGAACAGGATTAGATGAAACAACCAGAGATCATCATTATTTGAAGATCAGGCAATTTTTTTACTCAATAAATTTGATATCTAGTTTCCTACATTCCCTGTCCAAACAAGTTCAACTTCCATCGTACATGTACACGTTAATAGGCCTTCCAAGGGTCTTCGCCAGGTTTGAGCTCACGCCTGTACAGCTCTGTCTTGTTCTTCCATCCACTCAGCCGTTCAGTCTCCCGTCGATCAAAATACATACCAATAGCCAAGGCAGATGGTAGGATAGCCACCCACCAGTACTTTTGGATCATCTGAAGCACCATGGTTGGGTAGTCTAGCAGCTATCTGCTTGGTTGCTGAAATGAGAATACACGTGCAAAGCAATCATGATGGTGTAAAACGTCAAATTCCAGTGAAGTAAATGTACATGTACTACATGTAGCTCCCACCATGGACCATTCAATACTTCTGTTCAACTACATTTGGCAATTAACACTTGAGCTGACAAAATCTGACACCCAATACCTCAGACCCAATACCCATATTCTGATACCCAAATTCTGATACCTACAGAAATACCAGATACCAAATACCCAAATACTCTGATACCCAAATTCTGATATCTTCATTAATACCTTATAAATACATGTACCAAATGCCTGAATATTGTGATACCCATTAACTCCTATACCTATTTAATACCAGGTTTGTCATGTCATTTTTACTGCCTATTTAATAATAATATATATCTGTAGTTACTTTTCTGTGTATCTATAATCTAGCGCCTTTCCTTAGGTGGATACGTGCGCTTTACAAATCTCCATTATTATTATTATTATTAGTTTCTACACAGAATCAAGCACGGCTTGAGCGAAGAAAAAATTTGAAAATGGGGCGAAGTGGCAGCGGGGCAATGTGGGGATGGGGCGAAGTGACATCGGAAGGAGTGGAAGCGGGGCGACGCGGGTACGGGTACGTGTCTGATCGAGCATGCACTGACATGACCGGTGGTCAAATCGATTCCCAGGCTGTGGCATGCTAGTAATAAGCTTCAAAATAAGTTCTACTTCCCCTATTGCATTAGGAGTGTATGTAGACCTACATATCTTCTTACCGTAAGAATTTAAAGATGGTCTTGTTCTATGAAAAATCAAATTTCAAGTTGTTAGCGCACGAAACTCCAGCAAGCAGTATAGCATGTACACTATCTAATTTAATAGAATGGTACCTCGGCTATCCCAAAAATGGCAACTGCTATAGTATTATTTCGTGTACACATACTGTACATGTACATGGAAACTACACTTAGTACACTCAAGATTTTTTCCGCGCATGCAGTTCGTGTCGAGGCCATTGTAGTCTTGGTTCCAAGACGTTACTATCTGTAGCTAGCGTAGTAAATTTTGGCAGTCAACAGAGGGCGCTATGTGACAGACGAGATCTGTATTACAGGATTGCACTACACCAAACAAGCGCCCATAGCAAACAGTGCAAAATTGGACCGAAATAGCGCCGCCTGTCACGTTTGACTCGTGAAGAAGTTGACCTACGTTTTTTCACTGGAAGTTCAAGACTATGGCCAGAAGATCACTTGTCGTTTTAACTTCATTGGGGTTAGCCACGAATATCTTTTTTCGCCTTTCAAGGAAGATACCCCCAAAACAGTAGTAAAACTAAGCGCTCATTTCTGAATGTAGCCGGCCGCCTCTATCCAAAATAGGCCCGCAATTTAGGGCTAATTATCAGTCCCAAATTCGGGATTTATGGAAATTTTTCTATGATCCCTCCTGGTTATGTCCTGTCTTATTGTAAAAATCCCGTGGGATCACAAAATGTTAATGAGCTCACGCGGAGAATTACAACGATTTGGTGGAATGCACCGACAGGTTACATGCGTTTATGTCTGTGGTCTGTATTTTCAGTAACAATAATTTTGCCCAATCATAGACATAAAATTACCTAGGGCCGTTTTCCAATACTCAACTTCGGCTCTGTCTCAGGCTTCAACTTTTTTACTAGCTGGCTTTGAAGCTGTAAGCGCAGCAATCAGTCTAACAGTGCCACAGAACATCAAATAAGATGCAAGAAAGCCACAAATTACAGTAATCCAATGTAATTTAAACACTTCAGGCCAACAATCAAGCATTTTTCACCATGGAGTATCCGCTTTCATCAGAATGCCAAACAGAGTGATACATCAAAACAAAAAAACTCAATTTGCTCTTTCCAATACAAATGAAAACTCAAAAGGTAGCTCTGGCGAATTAAGACTCATTTTCACAGGGTGGGTCACATCATGGAGGTAGATTCTACCTCCATGGTCACATTTATGTGAGTGTGCACAATCGGCAGTCACATAGCGCCCTCTGTTGACTGGCAAAATTTACTGCGCGAACACAGATAGTGACGTTTTGTAACCAAGACTAAGGCCATGGTCGCCAACACTTTATCACGTTTACTGCACTGGTACATGATGCCGGCATCATTTTGGGCCGAGTATTAATTGTAGTTGTACAGATTAGACGCATTTAGCGGGTTTTTTTTTTGACAATTGAGGGCATTATTTTGTTATAGCATGAATATCCAGTGTTGGTCAGTAGTTGTTGACTCACTACCCATGATTAGGAAGTTTTCGATCTCACCAGAGGGTTTGAAAACCATTTTCGAGTTGTGATCACTAGAGCACAGTACGCTGTCTTGGTTGCCACATGGAGTTCTGTCGATCTTAGTTGCATATTATCTGCATAAAAATACCCAGATTCAAAGCAGGTGTATGTGGACATAACTATTTTTTCTGTTTGTTTAGATGCGATTCTATACATCTGGATAACAAAAGTGATGCAACTCTGTGAGGATGAGAAAGGAAAGGCTGACATCTTATGAGATGGAGCAAGAACTTGGACAAGGCTGGAGTGATGAAGGTGTAGCAATGCTCTGCTTTGACTCGTCCAGCAGCGCATTCCAGGGGAGACTGGTCACACCCACAGGCAAACAGTATGGCCTTATGGGTAAATCCTGTGGCCCCCCTCCAGACACCCACTTCCACCAGTGTTGCTTCGACGAAGACCCGGTGTTCTTCAAAATCACTGTCATTGATTACAAGAGGAGAAGTGAGACTTTGCTGGACTACATCATGAAGACAAACGGGGACAACTGTTCACTGACGTCAGACAATCTTGAATTCAGTACAGATGAATTGTTGACCGATGAGAAGGCAGATGATGTAATTAAAAGGTTCTTTGACAAGAGTCTTCTGGGCAAGGACTGCCTTGTTTGTGTTGGACAGTGGAAGATGCAGGTGAACTTTCCTTGTCCAGAGAAGAAAGATGAGGGGGACGACTCTGACTTTTGAGCTGCATTTTGAAATATAAGAATCACTACAGATAATAGTGGTACGGAAGTCAGTGCCGTGTGACCACAACACAATTTTCTAATTGGCACATTCAATCTCTTGGCACATGGTCAGCAGCAGCAAAAGCTGACATGGTTGAAAAGGTCACTTGTAAAGGAACTTTGGAACATGGCTGAATACTCGAAAGAAAACGACGCTATCACTTGTCTCTTGGTCAAAGCTGTTTATTTTATTTACAAAATGAACTGTGCTTACAATACACATTTCCCATTCAAGTAAAGCTATGCAAATAAATGCAATGTTAATTATGGTGAACAGTTTGTTTCCATTGTTCAAGTGTTTTGTCTACTCTTCCAAATGTTTTTGCTAGAAACCATTTTTAAATCATTTTCAGTCTATTTACTGTCAACCTTTGACATCTACTTTGCACTTTTTAAGGTTGAAAATTGTCTCTCGGCACACTGGAGTCCCTTTGTACCGTCAAACCCCTTAATGAGATGCATGGGACTTGACGAGGATTGATGCAACTCCTTGTGTCATCAAGAGTGAAAACAATACAAAGATGAGCAAAATGTCTACGTGGATCTCATTTTCAGGGTTTAACTCAACCACAGACAAGAGAGTACTTAACCCATATTCTACAGACACTTTAAATTTTTTATCTTTATCAAGAACTCTTGCTGGGTGACTCCTGTATGGAATAAACTTCAGAAAAAGTGACATCGAAGGGCCAACTTCAATGCAGTCTAGATTTTTTGTGAGTAAAGTCTTTCTAAATGCACCTTTGTGCCATTTAACTTAGTTCTTGTGCCATTTTAGGGGGAATTAGCAGTGTTGTAATCAAGTCCATCACAAGTCATTGAGTCTTAAGCCAATTCTATTCAAATAAGCTGTAACAAAAGTATTCTTTTGTCAATGGTCACCCTCGCACCTGAGACTGGCCTTGTGAAAGGACTTGTGAGGGACTCGAATACAACACTGGAATTTGGACGCCTTGATTTTTAATGCTAATGAAAATTTGTATGTTCATGAGCAAGGGTTCCATGTCAACTCAAGAATAAACTTTCTATTCATGAAGTAACGGCACAGACATGTACAGGTATGCAGGTGGTGAACCTCTGGATTTTCTTTTCTTTGGTGCTTCATGCCAGCACAGGCCACAGTGCAAAGTTTACTAATAAGTAATTTTAGAAAGCCAAATTGGGGTCCACACTTTGAAATTAATTTGAGAGTGACTCCGGTAACTCACGGCAACGGCACCCTCATTTAGCAGGAAGGAGCATCATGAAAATTTGAAATGCACAAAAAGTACACTTTTCAAAAAGACTAACTACAGTGGGACGTCAAATAGTTCTCGTACATTGGAGATGAGCACAACAGTACAAAGTTACACAAAGTATGTCTCCAGTAACCTTCTGGCCACAGCCCCATTAACCCTAACACTCCTCAGTCCTCCAACAGGTGAAGGATTGAGGAGGGTTAGGGTTAAAGTAGCCAGAATGTTTATTGTCTTTCATGAGTAGCATACATGTATATGAAAAGTCATTTTGGTGGCTTTGCTACAGCTTCTTATTTTCAATTATTTGCCATCACATCCGAAAGATCAAAAGGCTGTACATTCATTAAAATCCAAGCACATACATGTGTAATAATGTCTGATGCCATCTTAAAGCTCCACATATTTGCTAATTTTGAGGATTTCTTTACAGACCATAAAAGTAACATAACATACGGCAACTTTTAAAATGTCACAATACCTGAATTATGTTGAATTAATACAAAACTTTCCTGAAAAATATTCTTGGAAGAGCTTTCAAATATGAACTACAAGAATTTCTCAATCCAAAATAAATAAAGGAAAATAATGGGAAACCTCGGCAAAAAGAATTGACCAAATCCAGAAAGCCAGATCAGTACTCCACGTTATTAATTAGAGAAACAAAGTCAAAATGAACTCTGCCAAATACCACTTTAACTCCTTTCACAGGCAGGAATTAATGATTTGCCAATACACACCAATTTGATCAGTGTCATTCTAAAAAGATCAATTTTTGGTTCTGCATTAATAATAATTTTCATTAATGTTCAAGCAGTATAATTTTTTTTTTCATTTAAAAAACAGCATCACACTGCGTCTATATTTTGCTTAATGCGTGGGAAATATTTTATAACTTCCAATCTTAAGGAAATATTTCATAGATTTTCAATTTGCACGTCTAATAATTCTCATGAAGTACAATTCCTTGCTCCACATCACTCGCACAATGTTAGGCACGAGACGTACATGTACATATTATAAGAAATTTGCATGAACTTTAAAATAATTTTTTTAAAAGCCAAATTGCTCTGGAAACGTTCAATCTTTCATCAAGCAGTCCAAAATGTATATTTTCACCCTGCAGGAATCATAAACATACGTCTATGGTTGATGTGTTACAAGAGGGTACCTTTTAAAGTACCATCACTTAATTAACCCAAACCTTTGACATTTTCTTCAAGGAGGCTTCCTACTGAATCCACCCATACAAAATACTAGCAATCCAACCAAAAATTCTTCCCTTATAAATCTCTACCGTTGTGCTGGTGCTTCACAGTCTTGAATCCATGAAAATCAGGCAGAACAAGGACCGAACGCCAACTTCAGGTCCACCTTTGGCTTAACTTTCACGATGTTGGTCTTGTAAGCTGAGATCCTCCGGTTCAATGCAGTCAGAGTTTCTGTCACATGAACAACAGCCCGACATGGAGCAAAATTCTGGAGTGCTTTCATTTATTCCAACAATTTGAAGACTGGTTCTGGGAGCTAAATTGAATCAAAGATGTACGTGAAGCTGTGGTTGGAAAAAAGGAGCAAAATTCTGGAGTGCTTTCATTTTATTCCAACAATTTGAAGACTGGTTCTGGGAGCTAAATTGAATCAAAGATGTACGTGAAGCTGTGGTTGGAAAAAAAAAATTTGACAGGTCTAATGTGATTTGCAAAATCAGCCACATCCAACGTCAAAGCGTGCGATTGGACGAATGCAAAAGAATCCAGGGGTACAAAAAAAATAAAAACACCGAGGACTAGAAATAACCAATTGTTGGTTCTGGAATAATTCAGCATGGCTATTCAAATTGTGTCGTTTAAAAGGGAAGTGTTCAGTTGAGCTCATAGTTCACGGCAACCAATTCACTTGCTCAGTGGATTTCGGTCTAGCACAGTTCTGGGGATGAATTTGCGGTCTTTCAAACTGTCAACATCCGTGCAATCTTTCTCGGCATAAGATGCCAGTAAACGTTCCTCCCTCTCCTCCGCGATGCTCGCCCTGGCTGGCTGCTTGTCACTCCGCCATGTTCTCTCTATGTAGAACCCAAAGGCTCCAACAACAAGGGCTACAGGGAATGTGACATATGGAGCATAGGTGCGCAAGCCCGCAAGGATGACTGGCCACATGGTGACTTTGTTGGGATGAGGTACCACTTTGTTTGATATTTTGACAAAGTAGCCTTACTAGAAGAGAGATGAACTTTTCTGAAATGACAAAAGAAGCAGGACATCAGCTCAGACCTTAAGTGCAATATTACTGGCAGTTCAACCATAATTAAGATGCACAATAAACCATTAGCAAATCCCACTCACACATAGCAAATGATTTGGGGTCAACTCGTACCCTCAATGAAAACACACGCATTTGTGACCCAAACGGATTACGACTGTTTCTTCCTTTTTTACCCCAAACGGATTACGACGATTTGTCTTCCCTTTATCCAGTTTTTCTCATGTTTTGGATGATGTTAGACGCTAGGGACATTTATTCATCTTATATCATTAAAATGGTGAAACTCGCAATTATGGTCCCACAAACGAAAGCTGGACAATTAATTTTATTTTATAAATAATTTCAATTTTCTATTTTTTTTCTTGTGCAGGGACCAAATTACGGAAATTTCCCTTCCCAGGCCACCGTGATTGGTCAGATAAGAAAAAGAATGAGAAGGAAAAAAATCTCTTTTCCTGTAGTCAGATGCCATTTACAGGTATGTCCTACTTTCTAAACACGGTGGGGATTTTTAAATGAAGTCCGACTGGTAGAAAGAAATTTATACACTTTATACATGATGTACATGTACAACCCCATATTATGCTCTGCACATTCTCTGCTGACTGGGCCTGGGGAGTACGAGTTGACTCGGGTACCAGCCAACCTGGGTGTGAGTTAACATGGGTGCGAGTTGACCTGGGTATGAGTTAATTTGGGTGCATATTTTGGGGTACGAGTTGACCGGGTACGAGTTAGCCCAGGTACGAGTTGACCCATTTCATAGTTAGTAGGCCTACATACATGTATGTAGGCCTACATGATGTACATGTACGTCTCTCTTGTATTCAACTTTTAAAGTTGTAGCAACTCGCAATCATGGCAATGGGACAAGTTATTGTTCAAATCATTATAAACTAGATTAACATCCTCCCTGATTACCTTATAACAATGCTAAGTTACAAGTTCTCAAACATACAATAAGACTTTGGTTCCGTTTTCACTTCCAGGTGCATTAAACTTACTTACACGCAAAGGAGGTGAAACTTGCTAAAATCCGGTTTGTGTGGCTCAACAATTAATTGCACAGGTAATCCTTGGTAGCGCCCTCAATAGTTGTAACTAGCTCAAGCTGGAGCCTCATTCCTGGTTTCAATTTATATTTGAGAATGCGTGCAGTGTAGTGGTGCAAGACATATTCAAGCGTTAAAAAATGTGGTTGTAACGTGACAATGACATCATATTCACACATAATGAACGTACACATGCATCATGTGCGTGTAGCCTGTAAATTGTGTTGAGTAGGCCTAGGCCTACGACATGTAAAACGAAACAATTTACAGGCTGATGGTTGTGACGTAAGGAAACAGTGGCACGCAAGACAACGTTTAATTTCCAGTGTTTGAAACTTCCTTACAAAGTATCGTAATGAGCATTACAGCATGAGTTTCTCACCTCCTGGCGATTCGTCATTTCAGAGCGCATACTCCCTTGACTCCGACATAAACAACGGCACAGTGGATGAGCAAAGCCTCGGGTTTAGCTTTGGCATTATGCACCAGGTACAGTATTTTTAATTTTATTTTGAAAAATAAACATGATAAATATTTATTAAAATAAAAGGCTAACAGGGCCTCCTAATAAATAACACCGGTACTGCGTTCAAAATAGCTCTATATCCTGCTTATTGGAAAATACCAGCATTTAACAGTGATAAACATGATAAAGAATAGGCCTAAACTACATTGTACATGTAAATTAATGAAGAAACGCTGACTAATAATGATTATAGAGGGATTGCACCTCACTTTTTTTTCAATGGTTCCTCTCCATATTAAAGGACCTTAAAGTATTACCAAGTACCACCTGCAAGGGGTCTGTTTAATTTATGAGTGAAACAAATATCATGTTTACCTTGAAAACACCCTTTCTTTTCTGCCATGGTCCATAGACTTTGTGCATAAAGTCTAAGGCGATGGCCAGATGTGGAACTCTTTCTGGAAATTCATTTGTATGCACATTTTAATGTGAATGTTTATCTTTTATCATAGTATTTTAATTCCAGAATATATACTCATAAATCTGGAATACCAATACCTGGTATTTTAATATTGATTGTGCTAATTGACAGTAGGAAATTCATGCTATTGGTTAATTGAAATTTTCTTTGAGCAGTCAACTTTGAAAATATCCAAACCTTCGATGTGTTTGTGTTTTACTGTAGAAATAGAGTTACCTGATTGATTTTGTACACAGGCAATGGATCATGAGCATCGTACCCTTGCTGACGAATATCAAAGACCACCTGCTTACAATCCCTTTATCCACCAAGAGGAGCAAGACAGCACCCCAACTAATGAAGATGCCTCCAAATCGAAGAAGAAACCCCCGCCCCCGCGGCCCCCACCTCCAAGGCGGGCCAAGAGCAAAGAGGATGACGTCGTGCAAAAGCTGAGGGTGAATCGTGTCAGGTGGTTCTACAGGGACGAAGCCAACAAAAAGTGGGTGCCGTTCATTGGATATGACTCTTGTCAGCTGGAATGGAAGTACCGAAAGGTCTATGAGCAGGGAGAAGTGGGGGACGAGAACATCGAGCGAGTCTTGGTGCGGGGAGGGTTATACGAAGTGGATATACTGGACAAGAAATGTCTTTCTATCTTCTGGTCAGGTATGCCAGCAGAGCACTGCCCATGTCAGTTTTTCAGAATGTACCTCACAAGCACGTTTGCTTATTCTATTTTTGAGCACATGCTGTTCCAAGCCTGGAGGGCCTGAGAACGTGGCAGGTTTTCGTAATTGGGAGCTATGGATGTAACGACCATTTTGGGGAGCAACGCAGTCATTCTTTACAATTAGTCAGTCACGCTGCCGAATTGTTCAATCCGATAGAAATCTCAGGCCTTCATAGCCTTTTATAACTGAATTTGAAGGAAAGGTGATTGGCCGATGGTAGAAGAATCAACATATCTCATTACTCTATCCATTAATGACACAGGTGTGAACAGATCTCATAGATCAACTGGTCGTAATAAACATTTAAACATCCCAACAAAATAAGTTTATAAGTCCATTCATAAACCATTCCAAACATTTGGAAAGTAGTGCAAGAAATCAGTGCTTCCAGATTTTTGTCAAAGTAGCTCACTGAAACAATCCAGTGCATAACAGTAGTAATAATAATCATAACCACATTTCTTAAGCACCTAATACAATTGAGTTCCTAAGCGCTTTTCCATTATTATTACCTGTGCTCACTGGGCCAGTTACACATTCCAAATACCATCTCAGCTCCCTGGGGAGTACACAGCTCAATGCTGCCATTTCGGCACAAAGCGGCTAAATCAATCAGAACAGCCATCTCCACCCTCACAGGTACCCAATTACTCTGTTTGGGGAGAGGCAATGGGTGACAAAGTGCCTTGCCCAAGGGCACACGCACCATGACCCCAGGGGGGGTTCGAACCCGCAACCTGCGGCTTTACCCACTCACTACAAATCTGGTGCATAACAAGACTTGTTCAAATCTTTTTATGTGAATAGCAAAAAGGGAGCACATATATGCTTTTTTGTGTGTGAAAAACACCTTTCACTTTGTGTTTTCCATATCATCGATTGCCCCCAGATGAAAAAGTTGATGTCATGCGTGGCACTTGGTTTTACTATGGAAACTCTGAACCTTTGGAAGAAAGTATAGCCAGCCAGATTGAGACGGAACATTTTGCCGAGTTTGGGGGGCAAAAGATCGTGGAGGAAGCACAACCAAAGAAAGGACCCAAACAAGGTGGGACCACAGTGCAATGAACGGCACTGTCTCTCTTAAACGACCCAACCGCAGGTCGTAATGATGAACTTTCAATTTAAGGACCACGGACGCCTTGATTATTTTTTTTTTGTAACTTTCTTCTGTGAAGTAATGATATTTGTAGCCATCTTTGCCCTGCAAAATTAGAGCAAAAACGGTACTGTAATCTCAAGAGTCAAGTTGAAATTGTTTGATTTTGTTTGGCAGCAAATTACTTAAAGAGGACAATCTGTAATTTAAACACTTTGAAAATGTTGATCTGAGAGCCCTTTGGCCACCAACAACCAGCCATGTTTCATTTTCAAAAATGTCCATGTTCTGCCCTGCTCACCTGTCATTAAATCACGTAAAGAGGATGTTGGAAGAAAAAGAAAGAGGCAGCTTGAGTGCTGTTTAAATCCACCATTATCTCTTTGGGGGGGGCAGTCTGTAATCTTGCTGGATGATGGTTTCATCTTTTTATCTCCAGCTTTAAAGCAGCTACGATTCAGAGACCACCATGTTGACTGGAACAGCATCCGAGATGTCTACATATACAGCAACTCAACGAGCTCCAGGATTGCACGATCCATCGGCACGACCATTGGCTTTTCCAAAGGTATACACCCACCAGTGAAGTAATAGCCAAACAGAGCATATCTGCCTGCAGCAATTTATATTGTATCACCTCGCTCTTGAATACTACATATTCATTGGCCCAGAGAAATCGCGACAAGGCAATAAAAATGCATAATACCCCCACTGTTGGATATTACACAACAGTTATATCACACAATGATATCATACACTATGATCATGTCATATTTCAGTTCAACCCGAAATACTCAAAGTACACAAACAGGGACACTGTGTGTTATACAAATCAATTCACTGACTGCTGTGGTGTGGAATATTATATTTTGATACCCTCAGGGAGGTATAGATTTGCCTTGGGCTCTTTGAGTCATTCAGGTGTCAAAACATCATAACACACTCCACAATAATCGACAATTGTTAATTATAATCTGAATTTACATTTATTTTCCTTGCTTGTGTGACAACAGTTATAGCAAGGACTAACTTCACGAGATTGTTTACAAGAGTTGCAGAAACTTCATTTTTGTGTAGTGCATGTACAATAGCCAGCTGCCATTGGTAACAATTTCTGCTGCGCCCAGAAGCCCAATTTTCTACCTTAGACAGCAGACATGAAACATTATGGCATATTTATTTTCTTTTTATTACCTTTCCAGAGACACCAATATTAACAGTTTGGGCCGTAGATTGGGGAGATAGGGTTATTTGGATGTTGCCCTGCCCATTTTGCCTCAATTACAAAGAGCCGGCAGTTGATGACATGACAATCCTTGGGTCAATGAGGCTAAAAATGCTCATATATGAACCAAATAGGCCTCCGTACTAATGATGCCACACTTAGTTTACGTGTGATGTTATCACGCATGTATTTCACCTGGGCTTAGACAATGTTTAAGATGGTTATTAAAAAAAGGAAAATGCCAATTGTGGATTTTAATCAAATTGCACAGTTAAAATCTCTAAATTTCAATCACAGGTTCTTTGATTTTGTAACAAAAGTAAGAAACAAAAGAAGGGTAACACACATACGGCTAAGTTTGCTTGCTTTGGGACAAATAATTGTACCAACTTGCCTTAATTTGAAAAAAAATTACAAATTTGATTTAAATGTAAAAAATTCATCTTGTAATTTTTAAAAACTTCATATTTTATCGTTAAAAAATCAGTAACCATGACAGCTTGTTGTTCTTTTGCCTTTGCAGCCTCTACCAGTGGTTATCGCATTATCCGTGGTTATCACGAGGAGGCATCACTGGATGATAAGCCACCGCCCATCAGCCATCTGGTCTTTGTGGTCCACGGCATCGGTCAGATCATGGACAGGGGCAGTATCATCAAGAACTGCTCAGAGTGAGTCCCCCAGAAATGGGGGGAAGGTCTGAAAACAGTCCCTTGAAGCTCTCAAAGAATGTATGGTGCCTTTGAACGGACATGTAGCGGGACAAGAAGCTGTTAAGAGTAACTTCATATGTATGAAATAATTGGCTATGGGGATCTATCATATGTTGAGATTGACACTGTGAGAAGTGTCATCAGGAGCTGTACGTAGAGAGTTCCCAGAAAAGTTATCGAGGAGAATTAAGTGTTTAGTGCAACAGCTGCTTCAAACTTATCCCAGACCCTGAAAAAGTCTCAGGAGTTGCTGGCTCGCTGGCAAGTGTTCAGTGGTGGATGGGGGTTGGTTGTAGGCGGAGTTTGTGAGGAGGGTTTTGAGGCTTAAATTTCGACATATATTGTTGTTTGCAATATGTAAATTGCCGGAGTGTTTTAGTTTGACATACTTGTGCCCAGGGAACCTCTGTTCAACCTTTTCTAGTTAATGGACCAGCATTTTTGTCCAAACGAGGTTGTATACACTTGATACAGCCGACCGCTCAAAACAGTCCCTAGGAACAACCGTGTGATTTGGGGGGCTTGACTGCCTATAGAGCTAAATTAATTGTGTTTTATTTGGGTTGTCTAGTTTGCGCAAGGGAGCTGAAAAGATAATCAACAAACAATTCCCTGACCTAAAAGGGCCAACCTGCACCAAACGTGTAGAGTTCCTGCCTGTTGAATGGCGGACATCTCTCAGCCTTGATAATGGAGTTGTTACTACCATCACGCCGCAGAAGCTCAAAGGACTGCGACATGTGTTGAACAGTACTGGAATGGATATATTGTATTACACCAGTCCATTGTATAGATCTGAGGTAAGGTAAAGTAAGATTCAGATTTGTGTATTTCCTTTAGAGCAAAAACTCTCTGCAAGAGAAATGGGCTTAGTTATTGCACGGACCATTTACCCAGGGATGTGCAACCGCGAGCGGCCCCAGTGCAAACACATGTGCGACCTTGGTTCCATGCGTGTTACGGATTGTTATTACCCCCGCAGGCGCTCTCGACTTTCTTGAAAAAACTCGCGACCACATGACACGCGTTGTAGCATGTACAGTGCAGCCGTGGTTATGCCGAGATGACGCGCCGACGCGGTGCTTAAATCTATTCGTTTCGGCAAATAAATCTTTTTTATTTATCAATTTCAAGCAGAAACGAAGTTTTAATGAGACAAAATTCCCCAATTTTGTGGTACACTTTTCTCAGAATGTATAGGATGAAGTATCTTGAGCAGCATATTTTTAGAAAGGGTGTACCCTGACTCAAAATATTACAAGAAAACAAAGTGGTAGGCAAGAATATATGTTTTATTATTAGAGATAATCCAATTTAATTTCTGCTTTGATATTGTGCCGGCTGTAACACGCATTGAACCAGCTTTGAACTTAAGTTGCATATCCCTGGGTAAATGGTCCGTGGTTATTGCTAGCCCTCTGAAATACTTTTATCTGGAATTTTTATTAATTATCCCAAACCCACAACTATTTGCTTTGGAGATAAGTTTGCGTTTGCTGTGGTTAGCAGGCTCAGTTAACGCAATATTGGGTGTTCGGTGGTGCCATGGAATTTGGTGCTTAAATAGCATTTCCTGTACCACTTAAGAGTCTGTGAGAGCAGTACACTGGTTGACTCACCAGGGACTTGAACTTAAATGCCTACTGGAGAATTCTATCACTGAAGGATAACATCTTAATGCTGAAAGTTACATATCTTCAACAGATTTCCGTCTAAAGCCATTAGAAAGTTGTTTCCACTGACCAAACATGTTGTTTATTGATAAAAGATGCAATCATTTTTTTTTTTACAGAAAGTGGCTTTAATTTGAAATTTCATACTTTCGCCTTGAAGCATGCAATTGTATCTGGTGTATACATTGTTTGTCATTTTGACATTTCAGATTGTGAAAGGCCTCCATCTTCAGTTGTGCCATCTTTACTCCCTCTTCTGCTCTCGCAACCCAGGATTTGAGCCCAACGGAGGCAAGGTGTCCATCTTTGCGCACTCGTTAGGCAGCGTCATAGTGTACGACATCCTGACAGGCTGGAATCCCATCCACCTGTATGATCAGTACTTGAATCACGAGCAAGGGAGCCACCCTGATCTGGACTCGGTCAGTGACCATCACCAGGAGTTGGCGGCAGAGCTCAACGAGGCACGGAAAAAGTGGGTCATTCTTCTGGTTTGGTTTCTTTTAATTGACATATAGCGTATGATCGACAAAAAATGAATTCTGCCGATCATCTTCCTCTTCATCGACTGATGCCCGACCTGCGTTGTGAGACCACTGGCTAGACTGGTCCAGAAGTGTAGAGAGACCTACGTACTAATTGCTACAGGTACCTGCTGCACCACCCAGTTTCTGCAGTCCCAGAGGGATATGCCGCATTACACAAAGCTAGTGAAACCTTCACTAACAGGAACAGAGGTATAAATCTGGAGATGTGAAAGATATCTACCGGCTCCATGTTTACAACGGAAGCACAAAGTCATGACAAACACAAAAGACAAAAGTATCATCTACACACAGTTTTTTATGACAATTACAAAAGGACAGACTAGTAAAACCGCAGATTTTCGTTCAGAAACTGAGTTATTTTTCATTGATTTGGAAAGAACGTTTCTCATTGCAGGGTTGCCGAGCTAGAGGATAAACTCCTAGCAACCAACCAAGTTGCTGTCAGCATCAAATCTCCCAAACTGGACTTCCAGGTCAGTTTTAATACTGCCATTTCCACATTTTTAGTCTTCCATTTTCTTTCTTCCTTTCTCTTCTGTTTTTTTGTTTGCAGGGGGATGATCTCTTCAAAGTTTAAACTCTAAAAGTGGTGTATAGTTTGATATACGTGTAAATGATTCAAATAAGTTGTATTGTTTGGACGATCACAAGCAGTCAAAAATTGAACCCCTTTCTACTGGCATGCTTAATGCACAGATAATATGTTACTTTTTTAGCTTGAAGAGGAGGGTCAGATTTTAGGCCTTTTATTTGATCATACTTTAACTGTCTCTTGTTCTTACAAAATATATGTAAGTCTACAATTTTAGGGTGTTATGGTCCATTTTTTGTCAGTTCTTCAAGTCAAGCATCCAATAATGCAAAAATACAGCAATCTTTTGCCTTGTGATTCGAAATTTATTTTGGTAGCAAAATTTTGCTTAGAATTTTGATGTGATTCATGTATTTAAAGTTTTATGTTTATAACTTGGTCAAAATGAACGTGGGTTGCATGCTAATTCGCAGACTATGAATGCTAATTGTTTACTGTCTTCCTTAAAGGTAGTGTACTCCATTGGCAAAATCCCCCAAATCGGACTACTGTATAATCTTGAAATATCTTACTTCAAAGAAAGAACATGACAGCCTCAATCAGTCTGTAAAATATTTCCGCCCAGAATGCTGTAGTTTTCAAGAAAACAGAAATTTTGTTCTCTTTTTTCATGATGGTCTTCCGACCATCGTATAAGAGTTTATTTTGAACAGACGCCAAATCTTCTTGTGTGTAGTGTTTGCAGACCTTGTGGGAGTCTCCGTTAATGAATGGGTAAACCTAAAAGCAGCTAAGAAATATACCGACAGAAATTCACCAAACGCATTGTCAACTGAAATGATAGGAAACTGAGTGTAAGGTGTAAAGTAGGATATAAATTGAATCAGTGTGAAGGTAAACTCTATTCGATGCAAAAAACTTTGCGAATTGAAAATCACCCCTAGAGCATAATAGTATGGTCCAAATATGGAGGCTGCCTTCAAGCTACCTGGTGAAATGATTTTCGTCAACAAATAGTCCCATTTTCACACATTAAACCTGCCTTGTTTCAAGACATAATTTCCTCTTTGCTTATTGTCATTTGTATAAAGTCAACTAAGAATGGAGTTTTTAGACTTTTACGGATGTGTAAACTGACGTGAAAGTGTGGTCATTGAGCATGACCGCGTGCACACATGCATTATCATAGAGGCCTACTTGTTTCAGTGTCACAGACATGAGTCAACTGTGTTCCTGGGTGAATTTTTTTCCTGAATCCGCAATGCTATATTGTCAAGAAGATGCATTACTCCAAGGTAAATTCACTAATTACTTCTTGCCGTTGAATACTGCTCCTCTTTTAAGGCAATGAGAAACTGTCATGCCTGTTTCCTACCTTGACCCCACGAATGTTGTTCACACGAAAGCCCTGTAATTCATAGATTTTACGCAAGAGAAATTACAAGATCTTCGATTTAAGCATTGAAAATACTGCACTGTTTTCTCGATTTTTCACAAAGCAGTTGACTCAATCATGAAACAAGTCGGTGGTATGTAAGTTGCAGTGAATATTATACTCCGTATTTAGCCTATCTTGTGAAGTTCCGACAAAAACCAATGGTTTACACTACCTTTAAATCCGATTGTTTAACCAATATCCCTGCTGTTTTGAATTTCCAGATCGATAGTTTCTTCTGTGTCGGTTCCCCTCTCGCTGTCTTCCTCATTATGAGAGGTTTCCGCGCCCAAGGCAATGGGTCCGTCAGCCACATTATTCCAAAGTCCATTTGTAAACGTATCTTCAACATTTACCATCCTGCAGACCCAGTAGTAAGTTCGTCTCTGTGCTTTGTTCTAAGCTCTGAAATAATCAGATTTGCCGCAGTGCTGTGACATTTGTATTTTTTATCATTTCAGAAAGAGTTGTCTATAATAGTTTTGTATAAAACTAAAGTTAGATCATAGGGTAGCAGTGTTTGTGATAATCAACCTAACCATTCTATCTCAGTAATATTTACCAGTGATCTGATGTTCCCTTATAACACCTGCATGTAATAGAGTACCGAAGTGTGATGTCACTGTGAACCAGAAAGTGCAGTGCAAACGAATGGAGTACGCGCGCGTGTCGGTTCACACGCTGGTTCTCGCGCTAATGCCTTTTACACGCTAATTGTGTGCGTGACCTATTCACTTCGGTACTTTATGTGAAACATTGCTGTATCAGCCAGCGAAAAAGTCCACCAACAATCGATTAGTGTTGACTGCATCTTTCTTGCTGTACACAAGATACTTTTACAGTTGTAAATAATTTCCAGAACATCCTGCCTTCCAAGTCACTGTGTATGTAGTTCACTTCCACAGAACTATCTCTGTCATCAACCTAGATGTCGTCTTGAGTGATCTTCATTTAAAAGACAAGAAGAGGGGAGACCACATCGTCAGAAATATATTTGTGGAATTTTCCAGAACTCCAAAGAATATAAGAAACTCTATATACACAAAACACCCACACATGCAGGTTTTTTACAAGGAAAATATTTTCCGGCGCTGAGTCAAGAGAGAGTGTTCACAGCAATGACGTAGTTACCTCAATTTGGCCAATCTATTGTGTCTGACGTGGGAATGTGGCGGTATATCTGTGCATTGAACCGTATTTAATTAAATTTTTGAATGGATGGTCATGGGTAATAGACCTGTATACTGATGACATCACCATTTGTTAACTAGTTCACTTTCCAATGGAACCACAGAGGCCCATGAAAACAGTGGACCTAAACGATAAGAGTCTTAATACATGTGGTAATTCCACTTTCATTTGAACTGATTACAAACGGGCACAGAATATAAATCTTAGGCAATGATCTTTACTCAATATGAGATTTTACAGAAGCGCGGGGAGTAAGAATACTCCCAGCCTAGTTCATGAGTGTAATAGTATACCAAAGCCATTAAAAACGGAGTAAAAAAGAAAACTTGGACTGCCCATCCCTTTGGACCATCCATTTGGGTATTAAGTTCCCATTTTATTGTCAGTTACTCCGGAAAATCAAAATTGCTTTCCAAACTTGAACGATTTCATCAGTGGAATATTTCTTCATTTTAGGCCTACCGCCTGGAGCCCTTGATGCTCAAACATTACTCCACCATCAGCCCCTTACCGATCCACCGAGCCGACTCCCCCAAACAGACCCCTTATGACCAGATGAAAACCACAGCATATCCTACTAGCCGCACCACACCCGAAGAGATGACGGGTTCAGAGATAGGGTCCTCGGGTGCAGGGCCACCCGCGACAGCATCAGGCTCAAGTGCTAAATCAGCAGTCTCTCGAACTTCATCATTCACCGGTAAAATTACTTATTAAAAAGTCTGAGATCCTCACAGCGGCAATACACTATTATCATTTTTTCACCATGTCATCCCACATGAATTAGCCAACAGTTAGGGCTGAGTCAATTGGAATGATCAAATATCCGAAAATTCGGTTCTACACACTGGCAGATTGTTGATCAACAAACCATATACAAAATTAATTGTAATAACATACACAATTGTACATTATGATCAATATAGTAGCCTCTCACATCTAGGTATCTCCAGCCACTATTTAGCAAGATTAAAGAGATAAACAAGACTTCTCGCTCTGTTAGAAAATTTCTATTCCTTTTAAATTATTTAATGAATAATTTACTTTTTAAATCCTTGTAAGATTTCTGACACTTTTCATTTGAATGTGCTTGAAACAAGCTTCCATTTTTCTCATTTGAAACAAGGAAAATTGTGCCTTCCTTTTTGTGAATTTTACATTTGAATATTCAAATTTGAAAAATTATATTCAAATATTTGACAATCGATCAAATATTCGGATATTCGGCACAGCCCTACGAACAGTTATTTCCTCCTTGATAAGACTGTAAAGTTGGTGTCACATTCATTCTTGCTGTTATTTTTTTTCTTCAGACGGTGTTGGAGGCTTCCTTGCAAGATTTTCCCGTTCTGAGGAGCGCGATCCTGACATAGACGTTCTGGAAGATCTGCAGAAGACAATGGAGGAAATTGACCTGAATTCAGTGACCGTTCAGGCTGGCATACCGACAGAACTGGAGAGCGTGGGTGAGTTGGATGAAAAAGGCCAGAGTTTTGTGACTAAGACTTTGTGTGAATTAGTGGCTGTGGCTTGCGGTAACACACACATCTATAGCAAGTGGCTTCCATAGGTACAAACATTTCCCGGCTGCAGCCGTAACATTGTGACACTGCCTGAGACATTTTTATTCTAACAATCAACATCTTTGTTGGTGAAAGATACTAAACTCTTAAAATTATGTTGAAAGTCAAATGTTCTAACCCAAATTAGTCATGCATAAGCTGTTAAGCCACGCTTTATCTTATCCATGCATTGTCCAGAGCTCGAGCAGCGTGTTGATTTTGAGCTTCGGCAGAGTAATCTCAGCAGTACGTACATCTCGGCGCTGACATCACACAGCTCATACTGGACCTCAGCTGACCTCTCCTTGTTCATGTTGACCCAGCTGTTCCCAGAATACCTTAATTTGGCAGCTCCTAAATTGTAAGGTCGGGTGTGAGGTCAGAAATTGAGCTGTCTGAGCAACATGCAAAGAAGTTTCTTTGAAGAGTAAGCACCATCAGCCAAGAAGCCATTTACAAGTTAAATTTGACCAATGGCTGGACCCCTGAATCTTCAAATTACTCTTGTGCAGTCGTACTAGAATTCCCCCAACTGAATGGATTGCCCTTCTAACTCATTGTATATAAAGGTCGAAGGTCATCTGTGTAACTATGCAAGATCGTGCTCCTTATTACATTAAGCAACTGGAAAACTCAAAACATGAGAAATATTTAAACAAGTTTGTCAATCACATTTCTATAAATTGAACTTGCCATTAACATAAGTTAATTAAAGGTAACTTTCATGGGTCAACAGTAAGTATGCAATTTGTGTTTAGTCTTATGTTGGTTTGTGTTTGTAAATATTATGTACTCTTTAGTCCTTTGTTTTTTTTTTCATGTACAGTACTTTGTGCCTTGTACAAATTGAACGATATGACTTGATCGCAGCCCAGGTTTTGTGTTTTTGATGATATTATGTTTCAGAATTATATGTAAAGTAATTTATTTGGTCAGGAGTTTTATTATATTCTGCAAGTCTGATTGCCTTATTTGACTTATTTCATATGCAGTTGGTAGTTGAGAACATGGTTGACTTTCTGTGTAATTGCAAATAAGTTACAATGCCTTACTGGTGGCCGATGCTGCCATAAATGCCCCTCTACAGCAATAAGTATAAATTGCCCACACAGTGGCTTGTACAGTGCAAATTCAGTGCAGCCGACATTACAAAGTGTCCCCTGATGTTCATCACATTTCCTCCACAGTGGTACACTGTTACATTAGACCTATTTGTCTTGGTGTATTATACCAAGGTATTAAATAAGATGTGATTGGGCAATTATCGGTGTGTTTTACACAAACAAAAGAATTGATGAATGAGCTGTGCAATAGTTGTGATCCAACTTCAAGAGTCTTGCACTTTGTTGCTCAACAGGAGCCTTCAACAATTTTCATTCACATAGCGGCGAGTTTCACCAGGATGCTAAAGTGAGTGACACATGAAAACCAAGAGATCAGTTTGCTCTGACAAATGCAAAGTGAAACAAAATTACAGGAAAAAATAGCCTTTAGACAATATGAGGGATCCGAGCACATTTACCAAAAGTTGGCATTTTTGAGTAGGGTTTCTTGTACATGGAATTCATACTGCCTTAACCATAAGCAAATTTGCATGCTGTGTCTCTTTCAACAGTTTCAAGTTTCAGCATCACATTGGCTGTTTCTCCATTAAAAGAAACCATGAATTGCCTTGTGTTGAAAGAAATAGGATGGAAATGTGTACCACTGTCACCTGTTGAAACTATAAATCTAATATGTTTACTTGATCTGCTCTATCCCTCACAAAAATAGTCACTTGTGGTGGATTGAAGAGTTTGAAGGATTTCCCAAAGAATTCTATTTCCCAGCTTTCAATTTCAAGAAATTTCTGTCAACTTTAAAGATAACTTTATTTAAAGTATTAAACCTTGTTCTCTTCTTACCATTGACTATTTCAAAACTTGGAGGTGTTATAAGGGCGTAGCAAGCAAGGGTTAATGTATTATATTCAGTGTGATTACATATATTAATGATTGAAAATATGCAGCTGAATTATTGTTTTAGCTGCCACCTTGAGTGACCTTTGACCTTGAAGTAGGTGAATATCAAAATTTTGTCCAACTTGTATTGCAATGATCAAGTGAAATTTATGAACATGACTGGAGGTGGTTCAGTCAATAACTGAAAGATACAACTCATGACATGTCTGCTGCCTCCGTGATTTGACGATTACAAAATGTTTCATTTTAAAGTAAAGGAATTCATATAATTAAGGCGGAACTTTAATTGTATATAATTACTGAAATAATATCCCATATGGAATGAAAATTGAAATATTGATCAATGCAAATTTGCACAGGGACATTTGGTCATAAATTTCCTCACCGTAAAATTTGTAGGATCAGTTTTAGTGAAGAATTGATTGTAGATAAATGTATGTTTTTTTTACTTTTGTACAGTTGTTCACCAGATACAAGTTTGTTTGCCAGACATGAAGTTTTTCAGGGCACAAATTCTTTGTCACTTGTAGATCAGAGTCTGGTCAATAAAAGTCTTTTAAAATCTTTTCACCCTGACTTAAATGTTTCCTTGCAAGAATGCTGCCCAAACCCTTCAAAATCTAACACTGCAGTAAGCTGGTGCCATTTGCCTTCCTTGTATTCAAACCTGAAGCATGGAACCCTCTGTGAATTGGGTTATGTTACAAAGTGTTGAATCCATCAAAATGATGCTAAACTTGGTGGAGGGCTTTAGAAGATTTGAATCAGTTAGGTCCACTCCCACAAATAGTTGGCTGCATCCTAGTTTATGATGTTGAAGCCTAGTTTCTATGTGGTCATATGGTCACAATAGCGGGTACTGCAACTAGTAAGTGATATTTTCGTCACAACTCTCTGATCACACTGGGAATATAGTGTGAATATATGCGGTGTTGTAAGGGCCAAACCTAGTACAAAATTAGCATCCTCGACACAAAGCCAAATTGATATTAAAAATTACCTTGAAGTTGGCATGACCAACCTTATCATTTATTTGTCAGAGGGCTGAGTTTGGGCTATTGTGTTCTGATTTTTGTTTGCTTAAAGCTAGACAACATGGCTCCTGTACCTTTTTAAAACGACAGGCAACAAAGATTTGGTCATTTTCCAAATGTTCAAGGATTCAGTCGTATTATCTGATACTTAGATGGAAAATGTCCTCTGTATTTGTTGTGTTTATTGTGATTAAATTGTCCCTTTCAAACTTGAAGAGAAAATATGATTGACATTTGTGGCCCAGGTTATTGTGATCTGATTAGTTTTGAGCATTCTTATCTGAAACGCAAATACCCCAGTTACTTAGATATTATGTACTTTGAAACTACCATTTTTAGAGCAAGTCATGTTTTTTTCAAGATCTCTGCACTTCTGCCAATGTTCGTACCTGTAAAACATTTATTAATGAACCATTTTCTGAGATTCTTAATGAAAACAACACTAAACTCTGCAATTGTTTTTTTTTTTGCCAAAAAAATACAAATTTCAAAATGGTGCACGTGAATGACTTTTGAAGGAATGTTGCATTGGTCGATGCACATGTGTAGTTCGGTATTTGGTTTAGCCCTCTACTATATGTTAACTGATAAAGCATTGCATTTTTAATGTTTTGTGAAACAAACATTTCACTTGCTTACTAGCGCAGAGATGTCTTACGTCTAAAAAGCTCCTAGAGTTAAAGATCCTGCATTTTGGTGGTTTACAATACCGTGCTTCTCCATGTCGGGGCTTTGTCACTTAAAAAGAATCCTGAACTTACGCCTGCCTTGTTCCGATTTAACAGAAATACCTCAATATTTTGGTCTGTTGCATATCGTTTTATGCTTTGGTGCCACAATGTGACTCATTATTGGGCTAACAACTTTTAAGTCTGAGATGGACAAAGCTGAGTATTGGAAAAACCCTATAGTGTAAAGCAGTCTGACCAATATTTGTAGATTTTAAATTATTTCATATTAATATGAAGAAACTGTGCATCTCTCAGACCTGTTAATTGTTCAAAGGCCTTTTTGGAAGGTGCCTTGGTAAGTAAGTGGTACATCAATTAGGTAATGTGACAGTACAAATATTAACAGTGACATTTGTTTCAATGAAGGAATTTCTTGTTAAAGTTCTAAAAAGTTTGGTGAAATTGTTCAAAGTCAAGTAGAATATTCTAGTAGAAAGGTTTAATGGAAAAGCAATGCACACAAGCCGCGTTTTTTATTTAATATTTTATAAAGTGCCATTTGTTTTTCTGCACAAGAATACGGATACGAAGCTATCATCTTTTCAATACATGTACTGAAAACGGTTAATCAGTAGGTACAAGAATTGTTTATGTTTTGTCATTGTTTTTGCAGTATTTTTCATATATGTTACATTTAGAAAATTATTTAAAAAGAGGCAACCAAGAAGTTATATACATTTACAAAATATAAGGGACAAAACCTGTCCCCACAATGCACAGCCTAAGTGCAATCTTTTTGTCAGAATAGCTGTTTTATTTGGAATAAACTGTATTTGTACATTTTCTGCTTGAAATGAGGAAAAAGGAGAAATTAAGTTCTGGTATATGAAGTAATCTCTAAAATTAATATCTCAACATTACAAACATTCCTTTGCATTAACTTCACTGTGTGTCTTCTCAGGATCATTTAGTTCCCTGTTCGGTCAGTTTTCTTTTCTTCTGTTCTTTAATTTTTATTATTGATTAAAAAAAAAGGATTTTTGATACATATTTACTAAAGGGTTGGAAGCTAGATTTGTGTCGGTCTTTCAAACAGCCATTTTGGGGCAGGATAAACGTTTATATTGAACATTTGTTTTTTAACTTAAGAACTATTTTGAACATCCACTGCAAGAATTCGAACTTAAAATTTGGCTGGAAATCCTGTCCAAATCTGTGTTATCCGGATTCTTGCGAAGATGTGGATGGGGTAGACGATGTGAATCTGGCAGGGGGTGAGGTTGGTGGTGATGATGATGAAGACAAAGCAGACGGATTCAGCAATTTCTCCATGTCGAAGTTCCCATCCATCCGCGCCACGTCGGCTGCCGAGAGCCCCTCCTGGCATCTGATGGAGCTGTCCGCTCCGCACTCCTCCACCAGGAGCCGCGCCACGTCCCGCTGCGCCTCATCGGCCGCGTAGTGTAGCGCCGTCCACCCATCTTCGTCGGTCATGTTCACGTTGACGCCGGCCCTTGCTAATAACCTGACTGCGATCACGTTCCCCTCTGCTGTGTAGTGGATGAGTTCTCTGAGAGCCTCTGTTGGGTTTCAAGAAACATCAAAGAACACCTTCAGCTGTGAGTCGCAATTACCACGCTCTGTGGGTGATTCATCACTTACAAGTTAGAACGTCTGGAATCAGATTCCACTTGGCTCTCAGCAGTATTTTATCATGTGAGCGCACAAAGCCAGATAGCTCAGTGACAGGTGGAAAGAGTCCATACTTGTAAACTCATTTGATGCCATTTCCATTTTTACCAAACATCAAATGTGTTCATCGGAAATGAAAGTAAATGTATGCCACCAACCCCACTTAAACTTTACAAATTCTTCAGTAGCAGACGACGTAGTTGACTCCAGATCTCTCATTAAATCCCTGCAGCAATTCTTTTCATTTGTATAGAGAACAGTTATCACGTGCATTGCTTTACTTTTTTCAAGTTCATTTTCACGTTTCACTCAGCGGTTTCCCCAACAAATAGCCACTTTAAGTTTCTGAAAGGTCGTGACCGGGATGCGACATTGTCCTGAGACCCAAGATCAGTTTTAAAGCGAGCCTCCACACGCAACTACAGTTTCAAATCAGCTACTGGTCCTCCCAGATGTTTCTATAAAGTGAGAACAGGAAACATGCCACGAAAAGCCATAATATATTCGTTCATATAACGCGGGCTCAAAATGATAGTTGGCATCTTTGGTGAACTGTTTTGACCAGTAAAAGCACTGCGCAGGAATTGATCACCAGTCCTGCGTTGTTTCACAGCCGTTACTATACCCTCTTTGTTCCTCTCGAACCTAACCATCTATTCAGACTGAAAATGAATATTTTTAATACGGGATCACGTTCTTTAAACAATGACGGCTTGATAGGAATCATTCCGGATTTCTATAATTTGATACAACGAGCCATAGGGGAGGGGAGTTCCACGCACAGACAACATACGTGCGCACATAAATGGCAGGTGTTGCATGATACCAACGTCATAGTAAAATGAGCGTGTCATCTAATGTTAAGTCCTCGGGACACACAGCCAAAGGTATTCTAATGTTATGATGTATAATTTGGTATTTTTGACAACTGGAATTCGATGTGACGAAGTTGGTGACATGATTGGAGTTAAAGGTCACATTGTTTGACATCCAATCTTGTTGGACTTGACTCAAAAGACCCTGTAACGTACAGCCATGCCAACATTCCTCAATGTTTCAGCGCGAGTCAGTCTGCAGAGCTGTTTCAAAAAGGAAGTTAATTGCAGAAAATTTGTCGAACAAATTAGGAGGAATTCTCTGCATGCCATTGGACACTTCTGGGGTATATCTCTGGTATCAATAGTCCAGTAGAATGAAAATTGAGTCCAAAATTAAGACCTTCATAGACAGTGAGTCTTCAGTTGACTGGAGGACATAAGGGGAAAACTTGAAATTTGAAAACGCTCCACTTCATTAACAAAATCTAAAAAGTACCGTGGAGTCCAACGTGCTGAGGATTAGCATGGTTACTTGCACTGTAAAATCTTCCGTATATTAATGAATGACTTCTCTAAATATACATCCTCGGTGCACCAACCAATATACAAAACCAATATACAAATAAACACATTGGTGCCATCGATTTTGTTCGTGAAAGCACACGGCTGGCAGGTTGACGAAATGTTTACAATCAGCGAATGTTTATTGTTTCAGGAATGAATCATCGCTGACCTGAATAAGGGAACACACCGTCCTTTTTGTTTCTCATATTACAATATCACAAATCTATATTATTGTTCGGCAGTCGACACACGGCAAAATGCATTGCAATTGTTTGAGCAAGCCTGTTCTCTATCACAGATGTCTGGTCATATAAATGGTGGAACTGAACTAGGCAGTATCAACGAGTTTCCAACCTATGGCACGTGTATAGAACTTTTATGGTCTCTTAAAGACGAAATGTTGCGTTTTTAACTGTATGCAATCTAAAACAGGTTTACTGTAACTTATTCAAACCCAAAAAAAGTTCCAACAACCAAAAACTGACAGGTTATGTGTCCAACGGAACTAACCGACTGGTTAGCCTGCGACTGCTTCACTGACTCGATATCCATTCACCCTATAATCGAACTCACCTGCGGAGTGGCTTAACTACGACCGGGGGGGGGTTGCCCCCAGTGGAAGTGTGTGCGTCCATGGTGCCTCGTTCCTTCAATTTTGAAATTTTGAAATAATGCACAGCCTTTAGTTATGTACAAGCCACAGTTACTTTGCTTTCCGTGTCCCTCTATAAGTGAGTTTTGATGTTTGCTTTTTAAAGGTTTTCCACGATAGGTCTTGATTCTGCATAAATGATTAAGTTAAATGTCTTTCCTGATACATTCAACTGCATCTTATGTCTTTCCAGTATTCCCAATAGGTTGCCAGTTTTTGGTAAGAAGCGTTTTACCACCAAAACCCTGTTTTCTCTCGAGATGTTACATTGATGAAATGTATGTCGGTAAAACGTGGGCACATCAATATCTTTATCAATAGAGTCGATCACCACAAGGAACAGAATTTCTGTTCTTTAAAAATTCACACGAGCGATTATCGCTTCCTACCTGGGTCATTGACGGAATTGGCCGATGGTAGTTGTTCCCCATCTGACACCGCGTGTTTCTCCAGCCATTGGGGCACGAAGCGTATACGTCTTCTTTTATTAGGATTGCTTCTGTAGGCCTTGTGTCGACCCATCATGTCTGCTTGAAAATCCAGATGTGATTCCGAATTCCGGAAACCTTGGATTAATTACCCTTCAGCTGTGAATGTATGGCTAGGTGACATGCGAGAACGTATGTTTAGCTAGCGAGCTAAATATAAACGACGTGCCAAAATTCTTTCAACGCAAGTGGTGAACTTTATTGCATGCACAATGTAGAAAAGCGGTGACCTTTTGATGACTCAGGTATGAAACAGTATCTCGGGAGCTGAACTCTGATGCGTTGCTGGGCAACACACAGGCGTTTCTTTTCAATCAACTTGTTAACTGCCCGATATATAACAAAGTACAGTAGGCCAGTTTGATAATGGGGTCGTTAATGTGTAACTGCATGCTTACTGAGCTAAGCCTACTGAACTACGGGAAGTTGATTAACCCTTTGATGAGTGAGTCAAAGGAAGAAATGTTTCCATCAAGATTACAAGTTTCGCACGAATGTTATGCCCCAGAAATGTACAAATAGTCTTTGGAAGTGTTTATTCAAAGTGACACACAGGTAACACGTTTGTGCTCGTAACCGACAATCGAAACGAAATTTGGTCTAAGAAAATAAACCACGACCAAACTCAAAAATTCGGTGTACCAGGGTTCTTTAGAAAATGCCCGCCTACGCGTCTATCCTATTGTGTTTTCATGTTTACTCAAACTTGATATCTTGAAGCAATCTGGGTCTTGCTGGAACGCATGCTTTGACTGAAAAAAAAGAAGAAAATGATGAATGGCCTGGTGACTTCGTCAGTCGATAAAGAACGTGAAAGACGATTAGAAGCCCCCCAAGTCTGCTGACTTTCAAAGTTTTTTTCGCCTTCACTGGAGGCGTTTTCCCTTCAAAATGTAGAATTGCTAGTTCAAGTTCTTTTACTTTTGCCTATTCTCTCCCTTTAACACACACACACACGCATGGGCAGATCCAGAACCATCTGGGGGCCGGGGGAGGACTTGTTCGGGGGGGGGCAAATTTGGGATTTTTTCACGTAACCTTACGTAGCCTTTTTTGAGGGGTGAAGTTACTTTTTGATGCTTTTTGTACACTTTTGGAAGGGAAATGAAAAATACCAAATATTACCTTCCCTTCATTAGTGTCTCTGTAGTTAATTATATGGTTCATATTTCTGGCCGACCCTTATGTTTGTTACAACCACGAAAAAACTTTTTATGCGACCAACCCTGTCTGGAGTTTCCAATCAAGATAAAAGAAATAATAAAAAAGGATAATTTTAAGAATTTCTAGGCACAAACGAGTAATGTTTTTATCTCCCCCGACCGACCCGACCCTCTTTCAAGTAAAAAAAAAAGAGAAGCATACAGTTATCTATACGAACTACGGGCACCCTTATTAACAGAAAGGTTTTGTTGGGAGGAGGCTCCACGGCCCCAGTGCGGGATCTATATTTTACAATGATGATGAGTTTGCCACCGAGTCGACGATCCTGGTCTTTTAACCAAACGACCACCCTATAGTGAAGTCTTTGAAATTACATCCAAACCACAAATGCAATTTCATCTTATTACTTTTTGTTCTCTTGCAGTAGAAACATTGATGACGATGCTTAGTTTTTGGCTAAATTTACTGTCTTATAGTAAAGTGACTGGTTGTCGACAGCTCAATAAAAGTGCCTTCTATTTAACCTCAGTTAAACCTTTCATCACAACCTTCTCAACGCAATGGATTGATGAGTTAAACTAAGAAATTAAGTTATCTTCGAGTAGGTCTAGGGCTTGTATGTTTTTCACCGGAAACATTCTTGCCTCCTCCCAAATCCCCTTCTGTTTTTGAATTGCCGCGCAACGTCCATCTCGAAACATGATGTTTAGGCCCAAGACTCACAGGCCTCGGGTCATCATGATAGGCCTAAAAGGTATACACATATTTGACGAACAGGTGAGCAGGGGTTTTGTTCTGGATTTTGAAACAAAAGTTCTCAAGATGAAGTTTGGATGAAGCCTTTTTCGAAGATGATGCGGCCTCCTGTTTTGTCTGCTTGCCAATGGCGATGACGGATGACCATGTATTCTGTGGGCTCCAGGTCATCGTTTATTGATTCCCAGGGATCGCAGACTTATCGGTCATCGACACGCACGCACTGTGCACCCCGAGGTCAACGAATTATTCTGAGGTTTGGGGGAATCGAGAGCTGCATTCATCATCAAGCGAGTCCATACAACAGGGGCACACACCAACGCTTAAAAAGGGGGGTCGTGACGAGAAAGAGACATTGCCTGATGAATGGCACCGGTGATTGAGCCGTGGATGTTGGGCAGGTAGCGTGTCGGACGCGGGGTAAGAAGGAAGGCAACCGTAAAATCACTCCAGTGAGGCCCTGCAGGGTTCGCTTTGGCACGGACTCGACTGTGCTGCTGGCCACGCTACACCTGGATAATTTGTAGGTGTCTGGAAAGTGCATCATGGACATTTGCTCCCCTAACACCAGAGAAAGCAAGATGGCGCTGACCAATCGACGGGTGTTTCTGTGTCAAAGACCGGGTAAGACTTGGCCTTTAGGTGGTCATTTCTTCACCAGTGTTCACGTCCTGGCATTATTGGTTCGGTGCGTTTGTGAGAGGTTGATAGCTCCTTGGATGGTGATCTTAACTGTACTCTGATCCATACGCTGACACTAGATGTGCAGGCCTATGCGTGCTACTGCTATGGCTTAGAGAAATTTTAGCGAAACACTACTAGTAGTACTAGATTAATGACATGACTGATGGCCTCAGTGTCTTCCTTCCTCCATGGTATAATAAATTTACATGTAGCGTACATCATCACTCTCAACTTTAAATAAGGCAAAAGAAGAAATTGTCAGACATTTGGTTTGAAAACTTCAGTACTTGCATGGCTGATGTATCATCTTCATGCAGTTACAGCTAACCGGCCATGTCCTTGCTCTATCTATGAGCTAACATACATCATGACCTGGTAGTAACAATAACGTAGGCTTACGCATTGGGTGGATTTGTACCTGTTCCATGATGTATGTCGCAATTATTGAATGTGATTTTTTTCAATTAATTATTGACCTTTATATACCTATATGTTGGTAGTTTGAATATGTCAAAATTTTTTTCACAATAAACATCCCTGCATGACCGGTTTTCGATGATGTAAGGTGTTTTCTTCAAACTTACCAATATGAACAAATGTATCACACCAAAAAAGGTCTCAATCACTTCTTTTCTATCACAGACGTGTAAGTTGTAGAATAATGTTGGGGAATGTTGATCACTCCCGTCACTTTTGCAAAATTACCTGATTTTGTTGCTGTCCATCACACAGTAAGCATCGTGACCTATTTTCGACGGTCGTGTTGAGTAAGGTGTCCCAGTGAAACCATACGCAAAATAAATGTCTGAAATTACTGGAATGTTGTGTGGCATTGTAAAATTCTTCCATCTATGTTTTCCTTGATTCGTCTTTCATTTTTCCTGACCCAGCCTCTCACTCTTTCCTCCAAAATGCTCATGTGCTACAGACTTGTTGGTTTGCATTTTCAGCATTGTTATAATCAAGCGATACCCCTTGGCCTGGGCCCACCTGCTCCACTTTTGAGATGGGGAAGCTGGAGTGCCTTTTTATCACCTCCTTTCCCCTTGGGTTTTTATGATTCCTGCTATCCTCTTCTTCTCCCCTCCTTTTCCAAATCATCAAAACCATCCTCTTAATAAAAAAGGAAATTAATTTTATCATGGTAATAATATATTTCAGTTTTGGCAAATGGAACCAATCCTCTTGAATGTGAAAAGAAGTTCATGAACTGAAAGATATTTTTCACTTTTACATCTTTGCCACTTTTAAACTTTTCTGAATTTTGGATCTTCGAGTAAACCAAGCACATATACTGGGAAAGAACTTAAATTACTCTTCTGTTGGGGACTGAAAGCATGTCAAACCATGGCATGGGCAAAAAAAAGTGTCTTTCAGTCATTGTCGTGTGACATTACAACAGTACTTGAGGTGAACCCAATGTGAACAGCTTTGGAACATGCACTGAGCCCATG